TCCTAGGTTTAAAATAAATGGTTTCAACTTTTCAATACAATAAATATTTGAAAAATAATCAAACTCTCATCCATTGATTTGACAATTTACCTACTTTTGAATTTTTTCTCGTTAATTTTAAGGAAATAAGTATGCTATTTGACGCAGAAATACGATGACGTCATAAGTTGCGATCCAATACAAAATTCATAGAAAAGTATCATTTTTGACATTTCAATGAAAGTATTGAATTTGACTACCTGTCGACTACCGTATTATGTTTGTCGTCGTCATTGTATTACACAACTCATAGACAGTAATAGAAATGTTTATAAACTTTTTAATTTTGTTGTGGTCATCAAAACCACAGATTATGTAATACATAGACTGTCTATATTCGCGAAAGAGAAGGACACATCATCGGGGCGTCCGGGATCGCGGGACGATCTCCGGCCACCGTAAACGCGGGTCTGCGGACGGCGAGCATGGGTGGCTCCCCGTCCGACCAGAAACAGACCCGAGCGTACCTACAGCGCGTCGCGTTCCGCGCGCGCCTCAAAGAGCCATCAGACCACCACAGATGGGGCCGATGCCGATTCGGAGTCGCGGAGAACCTAACGGGTTACCGGGGCTCCGGCTCGACGTGCAGGAGAAGGAACGGGGTGGTTTTTAGTCAGTAAGAGTCTGACACTCCCTCCCGCCTAACACAGGCGGGAAAAGACATTCGATGATTTTACCCACTTAAAAAAAAAGACTGTCTATATAGACTGCCTCGTTGGCCGAGTGGTCGCAAGTGCGACTGCCGGGCAAGAGGTCTCGGGTTCGATTCCCAGGTCGGGCAAAGTATTACTGGGTTTTTAAAAATTCTAAGTAGTAGCACGGAGTCTGGAACAATGTCCGATATATGGCAATGGGACTCATAACATAAATAGTGAAAAGTGGATGTTACTTTGTACAGTGGCATAATGTACACCTCTGCCTACCCCTTTGAGGATAAAAGGCGTGATGTTATGTTATGTTATGACTATATAGATTAGCTGTCTGGTGACAGTAGATTAGAATCACATAGTACACAATCAATTACAGTCCACCATTTGACTATGGACCTCCTCTATATAAAAGCCCTTTAGTTATTACTAGCTGAGCCCGCGACTTCGTCCGCGTGGAATATTGATTCACAGCTCCTCTCCCGTAGTTGATAGCATGATAATATGTAGCCTATATGTTGCCACGACCTGGTAGTAATATTCATGCAAAATTTGAAGTAAATCCATGCAGCACTTTTTGAGTTAAACCGGGACACACATACAGACAAACAGACAAAAAATCTAAAAAATATATTTTTGGTTTCGGTATCGACTATAGGTCACGCCCAAAGCATTTTTTTTTAAATATTCTATGTACATTTTTTACTTTCCTACGATTTTATAATATGTATCTATAGAATAGATCAAATGCCAAATGGTTAAAAATTAGTTTAATAGAGAAAGAGTCAGTTACAGTTTACATTTCACTGCTAGACTATCAAAGTCAAAGTCAAAATCGTTTATTTCAATTAGAAGGCACTTTTGACGGTTAAAAGCCGAGTTGGCAAGTGCGAGCAAGAGGTCTTGGGTTTGATTCCAGGGTCGGGCAAAGCATTACAGGGTTTTGAAAAAAAATCTCAGTCGTAGCACGGAGTCTGAAAATGTGCCCGGTATATGGCAATAGGCTCACCCCCTATTACATGGGACTCCTAACAAAAATAGTGAAAAGTGAGTGTTGCATTGTACAGTGGCATTAAGTGTGGTAATGTGCACCTCTGCCTACTCCTATGGGCTAAAAAGGCGTGATTTTATGTTATGTAATGTTACCCACGATTATATAATAATCATCCAAAATCCAAACTTACATATTTATAACAAGTAGGATTTATCTCTAACATATTGTTTGTAGCTGAACGGGCGGCCATATTGTCATGATCCTTTGTTAAATTTCATAATCCTTTCAGTCAATTCATTTGAAACCTCTCGTGAAGGTTTCAGATTATCCCTCTTAATATTCATGTTCATTTTTCAGCACTCATATTCATTTCGGTTTTCAGTGAATATTTCTATCTATCGTATAATGAAATGGCTCATTTTTAAGTGGTGTGTAAGGGGCTATATGGTTTATTTTTGCTTTGGGTAAAATGTCTATTATTTAGCTTTTTTTATTAGATAGGCCGGTCAACCAGCAGACGAATCACGAGCATAAAGCACCGAGGGAAGTGGAAACTATAGTTTTTTTTTATCCTCTTAGATTTATCCTCTTTTGATTCACTTCGTTACACTTATTCATGTCCCTGGGACGCGCCGGATTTCAGTGTTCCGGTGTTTTCATGGTTGTATCTACTGTGGATACTGGCTTACAGGAGTTGCAGCGGTTTTGGGAGGTTGTGGCGGTTTTGTCCCATTAAACAGACGTATGTGTTGATGGTAAGCAATCAGCGCTGCACATGTCCATGTGCACACATGTATACCGGTAACGCCAGAACTGTCACAAGTGCGTTACCAGCCTTTTTGCGGATTAGGAATTTGAGGAATTGGAGAAGGGGATAATTAAGGCTCCAGTTACCGGTTATTTCGTTATAGGGACTTTTTTGTAATAGTACGCTGTTACAAATTGTCTGTTTTGATCTGGTGGTTCATCCTCTATTACGGAGAACTTAAAATTGGCGAAGACTGGAATTAGGTTCCTAGATACTGCAACCGCTACCTACCCTACTTATGCTTAGAGTATCAATTGATACTTAAATGCCCATTTCACCAACCTCTCCTAAGTTTTAAGGAACCTCTAAGCTGTGATAGATGATGACACTTCACACCATTTTTGTTTTACCAACGTATAAGTCTAATCTTCTTTCAGTTCAGTCAGTTCCCTTGATGTCTAAGTAAGACCTAACAGTACAAGTAAGGAGTTAGTTTTTCCCCAGGCGGAGGCAGTCCATGAGGATTTCCCTCATTAAAAAAAAAAGGTACTACGTTACGCTAAGTGACTTTTAGTTAAGTGAGTTTAGGAACGATTAATGAAACGGTCATAAGTTCTTATTCTTGTAATTGTGCTTACCACTTTGGGGCATACAGAAGTGTTGTTATTTTTCTAATCATAGAAGTTTTGCCATGAATGTCAACTTTACTTAACTTCACGAAGGGTATTCCTTATTAGGCGATTGTAGTGCTAATTTATTATGTCCTATTCTAGTTGGGCACTCGATGTCAAGCTAGTCGAATCTGTAAGTCCAAAGGTCTAAACATAGCAATCTTAACACGTGTAAGAATTATATCAACTATGTATATTTTAATCATCATCATCATCATAACATCACGCCTTTTATCCCTTTTTATAGGCAGAGCTGCACATTATGCCACTGTACAATGTAACACCCACTTTTCACTATTTATGTTATGAGTCCTTATGTTATGAGAATGTTATGAGTATGACAGGGTATGAAAATTAAAAATCTAATTAGAGACACGCATTTTTCACGAATCAAAGTTTGGGAGTGGGGGATAAAACGTCATTTCTACGAATCAAATGTCCATAGAAGTGACGTCACACGTTATTTCAGATTAGTATTATCGTCGAAAGTATTTAATTTTGTGAGAAAAATAAAATACGTGTCTATTGTTTAATGTTTTAAATTTATCTACCAGACGGACGTTAAAATAAAATATAGGCAATTCTACCCTATTTTGAGCAACATTCCGACACACATGCTACTAAGTGACAGGTGCTCAATTGAAGCATGCTTTTGTGCTTTTTTATGGCATAAGCCAGTAAACGAGCAGACGGATCACCTGATGGTAAGCAATCGGCGCCACACATGGACACCTGAAAGACCAGAGGCATTACAAGTGAGTTACCGGCTTTTGGGGGATTAGGAGTTTGAGGATCGTTGGGGATTCAGGGATTGGGGAGATTGGGGAAGGGGCGGCTAATTGGGCCTCCGGTAACCTGAACTCACACGACGAAACACAACGCAAGCGTTGCTTCACGTCGGGTTTCTGTGAGGCCGTGGTATCACTCCGGTCGAGTCGGCCCATTCGTGCCGAAACATGGCTCTCCCACACTTAAAATTAGACTGTGTAACAGTACCTTATGCACTCAAATCTTTCTTCCCTCATATCACTCAAACAAAACACGCATTCACTTAAGTTTTATCATTCAAACAAATGTGATAATTACCACCAAGCTCAAAATGAACTGTGACAATAGTAATTAAGGTTCAATTTACAGCAACAATGTACTAATTGCTGGCGCCATCGTGACGGCGTCGAAGCTTCAAATGGCTTGGAAAAGTCGAGCTTGTAACGATGGAGATAAAGTATAGATTCATGTAGCATATCTTTGTCCCTGTGCCTCATAGTGGTAGGCAAACGTATGCCCGGGTTTTCTTCTGTGTCGTGGGTACAATAAAATTTATAAAATATCACATACTATTATTTTTATTTCAAAATATTACAACTGTTATATATTTCCAAATTCTCTAACTACATACCTCTACCTACATAATATTTTTACAGTCTAGAGATCACAGTCAATACTTAGTGGTTAACAGATATACTGCCATCCTAGACACCATGCAGATAAAAAGAAAAACAATACCTACCTACAAATGCTGAACACCTACAATTCTTTTCATCTATCAATGTGAAAACAAAAGAAAAAAATACCAGATGCGACGACTTCAAAAACATCACAAAACAAAACAGAATAGGATCAATCGAACTAAACATATATTTTATCTCCACAACAACATAAAAATCTTTAGGTTCATTGCCACTCCGTGTATTTCACGAAACAATGCGAGATCGTACGTCACTCTCGAAAATATTTAACCTCCATTACTGACATACACTATAAAAGTATTTTACACATACAAATAAGTAAAAACTACACTCGATCCAAATAAATGATATATGTATAGCAAACGATCTTATAAATCGCCTAGTGTACTGTTGGGTGCGCAGGAGTTGATCAAAATACGTGTCTATTACAGTCGCGCGCGCGGCCCTAACGAAAACAGACGTGCCCATTCATATTATTGCTAAATTCTAAATTTATCCGTTGCAATACATCGTAGTTACATGTATAGAAAATTAATTTTGCGCTTTGTGACGTACGACCAAAGAAATCACGTGAAAATGTCCTTCAAAAAATAATATATTACAGTGTTTCAGTGTTGTGTTCTAGAATATTTGTTTACACACAGAGTGTTTGATAAAATAGTTCATTTAATCTAAATATAATTGGATCAGACATTGACGGTGTCGATAGAGTGAAACAAGACTGTGTTGGAAATAATTTTAAAAGTATGGCTTCAACACCGGACTCTCCGACTCCAACTGACACTCCTGAAGATACTCCCTCTCCTTCACCAGCTCCGCAACATGTGAACAAGTTCAACTGGCTTAAAAAGGCTCATGCTGCAAGGAACAATCCTTTCGTGAAGGCAAGGCCGTCTCTCACCAGGGAGAGTTCCACAGCTGAACTGTTTTCCAGAGAGAATTCCAGTCCAGATTTGTTCCAGAGTTCCAGGTTGAATCTGTTTGATACTGCACCTAAACCTGAAGCCAATTCCAATGGATTTAACAAGGTAAATACTTTTTTTTTGAACATTCATCGTGTTGAATGTGATCGTAAACTCACGACTTTGTACTTTCCTATATCCATGTTGACGGAGAAAAACCATATGACATTGTATTCTAGATGGCAACTGGTACATTGTATTTAAATGTGAGTTTATTTAAAAGGATAGCTGTGTCGTTAAGATTTATTTAGATAAACGTTAAAGTGACTTTGTTGGCTAAAGTCAAGGGTTTTGTAAAAAGCCATATCAGAAGCTACATAAACATCGTTTGTGTCCTTTGTGGACGAGCCATATAGACTGAACCATCAGGAATAAACTTTGGACTGCATTTGGTTACTGCAGAATGCAGATATATAGAAATAGTAAAATAGACCCTATAAACAATTGGGATGATGACAGGGTATGAAAATTAAGAATCTAATTAGTCCGTAAGTTAGGTAATGAAAAAATATTAGACACATATTTTTTTCTATTATTTTGTCGTATAATAAAACAATACTTAGATAAAACGAATCAAAGTTTAGGAGTATGGGCTTAAACGTCATTTCTGCGTATAAAATATACATAGAAGTGACGTCACACGACATTTCAAATCAATATATCGTCGAAAGTATTCGTTTCTGTGGGCAAATAAAAAATACGTGTCTAATGATTTAAAACAATCTACCAGACGGATATTAAAATAAAAATTAGACATCTACCCTATTATATAGGCCCTTTTCCAAATCAAAATCTAACTCAATTTGTGTAGAAAAGTGTATAGTACACAATTTTCTATGCACTTTATGATAACGGAGCATGCATAAAGAGATTTGTAACTGTACAAGAAGCAAATAAGCTATGAACACAGTAACAACATATGGGATATTCCATATTATTTCAAAATAGAAGAAACGTAATATACAGTGTGGGAGAGCCATGCTTCGGCACGAATGGGCCGGCTCGACCGGAGTGATACCACGGCCTCACAGAAAACCGACGTGAAGCAACGCTTGCGTTGTGTTTCTTCGTGTGAGTGAGGTTACCGGAGGCCCAATTACCCTCCTCTTCCCCAATCTCCCCAATCCCTGAATCCCCTACGATACTCAAACTCCTAATCCCCAAAAGGCCGGTAACGCACTTGTAACGCCTCTGGTGTTCCAGGTTTCCTTGGGCGACGCCGCGCCGATTGCTTACCATCAGGTGTTTCGTATGCTCGTTTACTGGCTTATGCCATAAAAAAAACGTGATGTATAAAACTATATGTTGTGATACAACAATAAATAGATATTGTTATGAAACTAACTAATAGGTTATTGTTGTTTTACATCGTAGCATAGTTGAACTGCCTAACGACCATTGTCATTCACGAATAAATAAAAGAAAGTAATTTTGAATCTATTGAATCTATTAAATATCGACTAAAGTATTCATAAATAAAATAGCAGTGTGATTAACCAGAATTTGTGTGTCAACAATTAAAATTATAATGGTAATGTTTTTGTAATAACTATCGTGAGACGTACTAAATTAAATAAAAATCGCGGGTTACTCATGTGAATATACTGAAAAAAGCTCTACTAGTCTCGAACCACAGAGGGGTTCTTATGATGATTTCCCCCCCTTAAAAAAAACACATATTTTTTTATGGCATAAGCCTGTAAACGACCAGACAGATTGCTTGATGGTAAGCAATCGGCGTCGCCCATGGACACCTGGAACATCAGAGGCGTTACAAGTGCGTTACCGGCCTTTTGGGGATAGGAGTTTGAGGATCGTTGAGGATTCAGAGATTGGGGAAATTGGGGAAGGGGAGGGTAATTGGGCCACGACGAAACGCAACGCAAGCGTTGCTTCACGTCGGTTTTCTGTGAGACTGTGGTATCACTCCGGTCGAGCTGGCCCACTCGTGCCGAAGCATGGCTCTTCCACACTTAAAATCATATTATTATTAGTTACGTTGCGTTCTGAAGATGTAATATAAAATAGGAGTATGTATCTACATAGATTAACTGATAATAGCATTAATCTTATACCTAGGTATTATGTAAACATCCATTGTTTACATGCTCTTTAGGTAATCTAGATAATATCTCCCATCTTTGATCTAGTTACAGAGTTAGAGGCCGCCTAGTTTTTAGGATCGAGTAAAGTGTTATTAGATTTTTTAATGTAAAATTCTTAATGAATAGCATGGAGTTGTAATATTTGGATAGTGTAGACTGAATAGATTTAGTCCCTTGTTTGCTGTGCAGTAGATGTTTTCTGATGGATTGACGATGATGAAATATGTAGGAATTCCGTAATATGACTGTAACTGCCTCGTCGGTCGAGTGGTCGCAAGTGCGACTGCCGGGCAAAGGGTCTCGGGTTCGATTCCCGGGTCAGGCAAAGTAAAAAGGTACTGGGTTTTTAAAAAATGTCAGTAGAAGCACGGAGTCTGAAATTGTGCCCGATATACGGCAATAGGCTCACCCCCTATTGATATGATGAAATATGGAGGAATTTGCGTTAAATGACTGACAATGACATAACATGACGTCGCTGACAAAAAAAATATGAATTTACAATTTTATGTTTTAGTGTTATTCATGCAACATCAGCCTCGAGCAGTTGATTACAAGTATTAAATAAAAGAAACATTTAATTCCTTACTTTATGACAATAAACCTGTTTTTATCATCACCTGTCGACGTATTTCGGGAGCGAAAAAAAAAATACATATTATAGAAATTACAACAGTCTGTGTGATACCACGGCCTCACAGAAAACCGACGTGAAACAACGCTTGCGTAGTGTTTCGTCGTGTTAGTGAGGTTACCGGAGGCCCAATTACCCTCCTTAGTCCCCGTCTCCCGAATCTCCGAATCCTCCTCAATCCTCCAATTCTCAATTCCCAAAAGGCCGGTAACGCACTTGTAATGAATGTATATTGGCGGCGTCGATTGCTTACCAACAGGTGATCCGTCTGCTCTTTTACTGGCTTATGCCATAAAAAAGTCTTGAAAGACTTGAATAAGGCCATAACTTCTCATAAATTACAGTCCTGAAGTTACCTATTTGTAATTCCCATTCAACATAATATTACACAGAAAATCCAAGAACTTTGTACAAAAAAAATCAGACGCCAAAATGTTTGTTTAAATATTTATCTACCTCTACAAGTAAATGTAATAAACAAACATCGAACCTCCATAACGTTAGTAGCCAATATTTTCGTGTATTTAGACTGAAACGTCTAAGTTTTCAGCCAATTATCACTGTAGTGCTGAAAATCGATTCAGTATTGCGAATTAGTGATGTTAGTATACAAATTGGATTGTCGAAAGAACTAGAAACAATTTGAAATATTATTCCAATGAATTATTATCTATATGGTTGCTTATCTTTAGAGCTTAAGGTCTCAGGTTTGTCGCGGAGAACCGAACGGGTAACTGGGGCTCCGGCTCGACGTGCAGGAGAAGGAACCGGGTGGTTTTTAGTCAGTAAGAGTCTGACACTCTCTCTCGCCTCACCCAGGCGGGAGCAGCCATTTAATGATTTTCTCCCCTTAAAAAAAAAGGTCTCAGGTTTGATTCTTGAGATATTTAGATTCTGATCATAGTAATTAGCATTGAGTTTGGCGCAATGGAACCGACTTGTATAATATTATATCTACATATTTATGGTAGCTTGGACTAGGTGTACTAGTGTAATGTATGATAATTATAATAATTTATGTAAAAGCAAAGTTTGTTTGTTTCAACGCCATAATCTCAGTAGCTCTCAAAGAAAACATATTTTTGTTTAACAATCTTTATTTTTAAGGTGATGAGGTTATCTATAAAGTGACAATAGGGTAGTTGCCAGGGAATTAAAATTAAAAATCTAATTAGTCCGTCATTTAGATAATGAAAAAATATTAGACACGTATTTTTTTATTTTTCCATATAATGTAGGGCAATATGACGTCACACGATCGTTGAAATTGCATTGACATTGAGATTGGTTTCAAGAGTAAGCTCCCTGGTCCCATTTCACCGCAGACTCGGGACATTAGTAGATATGTATTAACTTATGTGGAGATTCTGTATGTGTCACTTGTTTTAGCGTGTGATATACAGTTTTTATTTCTTTCTGTCTGTTGCAAAAATAAAAATAAAGATTGAGTATTCGTTAATGCGATCCAGCTAGGAGTCTCCAGATTTCTGTGCAGAATAAAACCTTGTTGGCATTATTGAAATGCTCAGTTGATACCTCGATGTTTTAAATTGCACGTATTACCCGGTGCATAGCAATAGACTCGCCCCCTAATATGTACTTGAAACTAACAAGATAACTGAAGACAAGTGGGCATTAACATTTTAGGTGTGTTCATTTTCCCCCTATGCTATTCCGTAGGGGAACAAAAGGTGTGATGTTCCCAACACAGTACCATTTCTTTACTTTTCTAAATAAAACATTTTGGTACTCTAGGAATTTCTCCTATGTCGTGGCTGCATATAAAAGCATACTATTAATACTATTACATATATACATGACATACAGACACGGGGCAACAATTAGTGCAACATACAAAGAGTTGCTCCGTGTGAGAATCCAACCCGCTACACGTGCACTGCGGCTTTTTCCCAACATCAGCGCCAACCGCACATTTGCCCTTGTATCATTTTTGGCTCAAAGTCAAAAGTCAAAATCATTTATTCCAATTAGACCAGGAAGGCACTGAACGTCAACAAAAAAATAAAGTAAAGCTGTTTGCTAGTTCCAAGGTGTAGATTCCTATGGAGAAGAACGAGCAAGAAACTTCATAGGTTACTCATAGGCTCGGATTTCCATAATTCCCAAACGATTAGGGTCCGACTTATAGTCTAATTCAACCGGAGCGATTTAATCTAATTGACTGACTCCAATGGTCTTGAAGTAGGCCGACAAACTCAGATGGATAACTGCTTTAGTTTGGCCGAACTTGACCCCTTCTAGATTTAGATGTATGCATATAGGTACAGACAGACATAATATTGTCGTATGGTTCTGTGGTATGAGCC